CGCTCCCGCAGCGTCTCGCCCCGGCGCAGGGCGCGCAGCCCCTCCACGGGGCGCAGACTGGAGAGAAGCTTCTCCTGGCACGCGGGGCAGGTCGGGCGCAGACTGCCAAGCTCCCCGCAGGACGCCGAAGTCGGGGACACATCCTGGCTGCACAGGGTGCGGCAGGAGGAGCCGGGAAGCGGGGACCACGCGGGCCGGCAGGACGGGCCCCCCGCCTGAGCAGGCGGCCGGGCCTCGCCTGGGGATGGGCTGGGGGTGGCAGCCACGATTCCCCCAGGAACAATAAATTACCACTCTTCCACCCTGCAAAGCCTCTGCCTGCACTTCTTCCCGCATCGCTCGGCAGGAGGGGGGTTGAGGGGGGGGAAGGGGGCTGGACACAGCCCTCCCCTGCTGTCCCCGCCATGAATTGGTTTGGGGGTGTCTGCTCCTGATGGGGAATGGCTGTGGGTGGCGGGTCCGTGAGTGAGACTTAGGGGTGAGAAGTCATTTGGGGGATGGGAGGTCAACATGGGAGTGGGAAGGTGTTGGGAACGGGAGCAGACGCGTGGTGACGTAGCCCAACTGCAAAAAAGGCTGGCAGCCCAAGTCTCCTAAAAGCCTGGCAGCAGAGAATGCCTGCCAGCTGCGGAAGCGGGCCTGGCAACCTGCAGCATCCCTGGAAGGCGCTGCTGGCCTCCTGCAACCTAAGTGCAGCCTAAGGGTACCTAAGGACCAGAGACTTCCTGAAGATACCACCAGCAAGGGCAAAAGCAAGGAACTAGAAGAGCAATGGGCTGTCTGGGAAGGAGTAACGGCTCTGGGAAAGGCGCCATTCCCAGAGACTAGGAAGCATCGGTTTCTTTCACTTGTCTCAGGTGAAACACAGAAATTAGCAGCAGCTTTTGGCTGTTCTAAGGAGGTGGTGTCCTCTGCTCTCTTCTGTCTCTCTTAATAGAAAAAGGACTCCTTCTCGACCCGAAATGGAGCGCCTCTCCCCCTCAGAACTTCTTGTGCTGCACAAATTGTTCTTGCCTACATGATATCCTCAATCCAGTGAACCTGTGCTGGGGATGCCCGGATGACTCTGAACTCTCTGACGGGAGCCTCACGTCTTTGCAGTGACACTTTGTTCTTGACTCCTTGGGGCCCACCCTCGGGCCCACTCCCGGGTTTGGTCTCTTCCAAGATGGCTTTTCTTAATTAGCCCGACACCTCTCTCCATGCTTGCCTTGAATCACAGAATATTGCCCAGGGGTGGTTTGTGGCCACGTGTAATAACGAGAACTTTACAGCAAAGAAAGCCTCCGTGTATTGCAGCACCCTACCAACTCCCACTTGCCGTCTCTCCACACCCGCAGGCAGGGGGGCATCCCCGAAGGGCTCAACCCTTTGGAAGGTCACGGCATGAACTTCGTTGTTGTCAGAAGCGGGATTCTGTAAAACGTGCACTCAGGGATGCTTTTGAGCAGATGGTGGAACACTGGGAGGTGCATGAGGCTGTCCTGGTTTCAGCTGGGACAGAGTTTGTTGTCTTCCCAGTAGCTGGTATGGAGCTGGGTTCTGGATTTTGGATGACAGTGACATCAGTGACACACCAATGTTTTAGCTTCTGCAGACCACTGATTACAGAGTCAAGGACATTTCAGCTGCACATACTGCCCTGCCAGCAAGGAGGTTGGGGTTGCACAAGGGGGACACAGCCAGAACAGCTGGCCCAAACTGGCCAAAGGGATGTGCCCTATCATGTGGAGGAGTAGTGCTGAACAATAAAAGTGGGGGGGCTGTCCAGGTTCAGGAGTCTGTCTGGACATCAGTCTGTGGGTGCTGAGCAATTGTATTGTGTAACACTTGTTTCACATAATCCATCATCATAATTATTGTAATTACTTTCCCTTCCTTTTCTGTCCTATTAAACTGTGTTTATCTCAAAGCACGAATTTTACTTTTTCCTTCCTGATTCTCTCCCCCATTCCACTGGGTGGAGGGGAGTGAGCGAATGGCTGTGTGGCACTTAGCTGCCTGCTGGGTTAAACCACAGCATGTGGAAATACATTAAAAAAAGTGGTATTAGCTTTTACTTTACAGACATTTGCTGGAGAATCTCAAATCTCTCTTAGAACAGTTTGCCTGCCTCACTGCTCATAATTTATTACAGCTATCATAAAAATGTAGCTGCTTGTTATGGTAATTGTGACACAGCTATTAATGCAATAGAACCTTTCCAAAAGTTATTGTTCCTCTGTGAAGTGTTCTCAGTGGATCTCTTGAAACAAAGATGTGCCATCTGAGCTGACTGGGCTTCAATAAAACATGAAAATGCCGTTATACCTTCCAAACAAGTACTGTAATAAAACCATAACCTTTATTTCTGCAAAGTCAGTTAACTAAAGGAAACTTTCTTACTATGACTTTCTATAATTCTGTACTGAATGTTACAGTCACCTCTTCAGGAAAAACTGAGTAGGCTTTATTTATTTTATGGCACCTCTAAAACTCTTGCAGTTTTACATGGGGGGAGTAACAAAAACAAAAACAACACAAACATACACTGCCTGATAAATTATACCAATAAACTTTGTTTCATCTGCCAAAAATGTGTTCACACTTTTTTCCCTAGTGAAGGAAACTCTTCTATTCAGGGATCACAATTTGGATAATCTTTCAAGCTTTCCTTTAAAGGGTGGAAGAAGAAAATTGTTGTCCTTTCAAGACACCGCTGATTGGATTGGAAGAATATTTTTTAATCTTTAAAGTACATCCAGAATCTCCTCTCACCCATTCTTTTACCCACAAGTTGTGTTAGACAAAAAGATATAACTTCTGTCACTTCCACAGACACCAAGGCAGGACACCCTGATATGACAGATGTGTCTCTGTGTAGCAGAGCACGAGCGATTGCTCCACAAGCTTCCTCCATCTTTCAGGAGATTCCTAAGCCAGTCCCAGCCCTCAGTTTGCTTCTCTGACATAATCTCTCTGCACAGATCTTCATTCCCCTGAGAAGGGAGAGGCATGCAAAATCGTGCTTAGGCTTTCACCAGACGGGCTCTCCTCTATTCTGTAGTGGGTTTTTTGAAACTTTACATGACTTTGGAGCACCCATGCTTTTTCATCAATGGATGAATGGTGTAATTTAAGGAACTTCAAATCTTAGTAACAGTAATTACTAGTAGTGCCTTGCATCTACTGACATCAAAGTTAATTTTAAGCCATATCAAAAGCCATAGCCTCTTCTTATAAATGAGATGAGCAAAGTTTCAGCCAGATTTAGAGACACGCCTCTAGCTGAAGCAAATTTAAAGACTTCTTTCAACAGTGACCGTCTTCTAGTGATTTTCATCAGCTGAAAACAGGAGTTTTGATTCAAATAACAGAGTCACTGCCTGAGTTGCACACTGTACCACACAGGAATTAGTTTTTATTAGATGATTCTCATCTTGACTAGACATTAGTGCAATAGTGGTCATGCTCTTGCAATATTTCTGAATGATCCTCCTTAACTTATCCCCATAAGTATTTCAACTACTCTCTAAAGCTATTGCACCAGCCTATTTTGGAAGCATGCTCTGGCAGTATCCTTTCAGTTAAGAACAACAAGAGCCATATGTAACACATAACATTAACACTAGATTATATTTTACATTTGTGGAGAAGGAATGAGCAAGTGAAGTCCTATTACGTCGTACACACCTTTTCTTTTTTCTAGATGTGAGTGTGTGTGGAACAGGAAAAATCTCGAGTGTAGTTTTGGAAATCAGGTCTAAAAATGTCTGTCTTTAGACGAGGTTGGTAAACCTATATTTTGACAGCTAAATAAATTACGTGATTCAGAAACACTAGAAGTCCAGCAACTCTGGAGAAAGTGGTAATTCATCTTTCAGATGAGAAACAAATTAAGGTCCTGATCATTTATGATTGTTAATGATCCTAACCACAGTAATGCTATTTACCTGTTACAAATAAATTCCAGTACTATTAATCACTTTCTGCTTGCCTGAGTTTTCCTGGCAGTTACAACCTAAAATGCTATTCATCAGTTATGGCATGATTTTGAAAATGTGATGTATGTAACCAAAAGTACTCTCATTTGATTTTAAGCTACTTAGTTGTCAATTTTTTACAAGCACATGCTTGGAGCATCAGAATTGTAAACTTTTGTATAGGGTTATCATATGTTTTTAATTAGAGCAGCTTCATACGTAGGAAGGGACTCTTTACCATTATTAAGTATTTACTCTTTACTTATAAAGTAATGGTAGATATTGTGATCCAGTGCAATTGTAAACATCTGATCTTTAATTATATGTAAAGCCCTATTATCTAAAAGAGGGTTATAGTCTTATGACACCTACAGATTACAAAGATATTCCCCAGATAACCTCAAATAATTATGCGTCTTCTATTACACTGAAATAATAGAGAGTGTGCCTTACAAGCAGTCACCTAGATTTCCTGGGCTGTGTATTGCTTCAGGTGCTTATTATATGTGTATTGCTGAACAAGATCAGATACTTTTAGCACGATATTTCTTATAATGAAGAGTAGTGTTTGAGTCAGTGGAGAAATTCCTTATTAAAAATTGAAAAAGGATTTAACAAATATGCTACAGTCTTTTACTCACATTTAAGCTAGATTTTGGCTATCAGAAAGCATATCATGAGTGAGCTGTTTTCTAGCTTTTAAAATCCTTGCTTCAACTATATCATCTTTGCCTACTTATAGAAAGACTTCTCTAATCACTTCTCACTTCTCTAAGCACTTCTGATCTGTGGCATTTTAAATAATTAAGTTGTCTTAGCAATAGCATAATTAAATTGTCTTGGTTTTAATTAGATTCCCTTGATTTTTTTTTTCTAATTACTTCACAACTTAAGGAAAGCCTCATTGTGAACACTGATCTGAAATCTCTGATGTGTTTAATAATATGAGGCAAAAAATATCTGTAGGTGAAAATCTCATCAAATTATATTTGCAGGCATTCTTATAACTTTCAGTAAGGTTAATATCAAGCAGCTTACCTTGTCATCCAATTTCCGTGCGCTGAATGAAAGTTCAACGTAGTCATCATTGCCAGACAATTCCTCAGCAATCACCTAAATGGAAAGCTACATTTGAGTTCTGCATGGTGTAATGAAAATGGAGAAAGGTGTCATTTGCCAATGTGAAGACTGGAGACCCCATTAGGAAACTGGAGTGTGGTACGAGTTAATATATTTCTCTTTGCAATCAGGAAGGACTAATAGCATTCGGTGAACCACTTGCCCAGCTGGGTGACAACTCATTAAGCCTCCAAAACTGAATCATTTTTCATCATGTGACTGTGCCTTATCAAACAGCTGTCAATGGACAGACCTCCACATCCCTCAGGAAGCCCTTTCCTCTAAACAAGTACTTTTCCTCAGATTGGACAATGGAGAATTCCACACAGACTCACAGTGTCCAGAGGAAGAAAAAAAGCTATACATGAGTTGCATTATTTAGGTCTAAAGCAAGCTAAGTCGGAAAGTCACCTTTCATTAGTTGCAATGAAAGGCACATATACCATAGGAGAGTTCTCCTGGTATCATTTGACTGCAGTAGGTACATTTGCAAAATCATTTACCGTATACTGAGCCAGAAGAGAGTAACACTGAAACAATGTAGTGGAGTTCTTTCAGGTACATAAGATTTACTGACAATGATGCAAGTCACTGTGCTGTGTGATGTTGTTAAAAAAATGAGATCCCAAAGCATCCCTCACGACTAGGCCATTAAAATACTCTAGTGGAGAGAAGGTTTTAACTAAAGATGGGATACTTCACTGAAAAATGTTCTTTGAAACTAACTGCATTATATTCTATTTGGTCTTTCTCTGTCCTACAAATTCTCTCCACAGATTACATCACATAATGAAACATGTTTCCTGGGTATTTCATGTCCACAGCCACACTCTTGGTAGCCACATCGGCTCCCCAGACAGGGTCTGACCATATCCACCACATGGACCTCAGGTCCTGGAGGATCCACTGGGACATTTCAACTCTTCCTCAAATCCACTGATGGCTACTGAGGTGCAGTGGGTGATGCTTTTACTAGCCACATATATGGCCCCCAGCAGTTAGCCAGGCTGCCTACAGCTGCAATAAATTTCATTAGCATTGTGACTTTTTAAGATCTTTTACCCAGTACCTCAGGTTCAGAAATAATGATAACTAATCCATTTCCACTTATGCTGTTGAGACATCAATCTTTTCATATAGTAATTTTTGTCTGAGTTCAGTTTTCTCCCATTTGAGTAAAGTCAGCTCCCTCTTTTATACCACTGGCCAGAAGCCAATGCAGCTAACTAAGGTCCATGTTTTATCATAATCATCCAATGTTAGACCAGAAGGGACAATTAACTCAACTTCTCTCACCTCCCATGAATTACAGACCAAATATTTTTTCCAGAAAACTCTACTAGCAGGCCTAGTGATTTTAGTTGAAGTATTTGTGTTTTCATGAGACTTAAACTCCTTCATGTCCCTCATGGAACAGGAGGTGTGACCAGAACACCACAGGGATAGAAGGAATGAAGTTTGCCCAGATAATCTCAGTGGGCAAAACACATCAGTTTATTTAGGGAGCAAAACTCTCACCTGGCTCTGTTCAGACAGAAAGAAGACTGGGGGATTTCTTTCCAATCCCAGAACCAAAAGGAGAACCTTAGGCATTTAAGCAAATCCCTTCCCAACCAGGCACCAAGGAAGTCTAATCTAAGAAAGAAAATTCCCTGGGCTCTCAGAAAGCATTGTTTCTCACATTCTGCAGTCTGCTCTGTGGTTGAAGGCCAGAAAAAAAAATAATAATAATAATAATAATCAAGCCAAAAGAAATCTATCTGGTTAATTGTACATCAAGGAAGAAAATCCTTCTCAATCCCCTTCTCAACTGAGCAGGGAGTCCCAAAGCAGACTATTTTATTATAGTCTCCAACTTAATGCAGAGCTGCAAGTGTCACAAGCATGCTAGGGTTAGTGTAGACAAGCTTGATCTTGCAAACAAGCCAGCAAAGAGAAAGATGAAAGACAGGTAATACACTGATTTTCAGATTTCAAGATACACATGGGGCTGAAGTAACTATCCAGTCTGTAATTGCATTACAACACAGCTAAAATACCTAATATGATAAAGCTTCTGCATTTGGTGTTGCTTATTTTTTTTTTCCTCACCTTTCAAATACTACCCATGAAAGACTTTTATATTTAATTACTGTTTGTATGCAATATTTTAAGCACAGCTAGAAGTGGGTCAAAATGAATTTCTGAAGCTCTGGAGCTTTGGATAAAAATAATCAAGCTGTACAACTTCTGTGCTGTCACCAAAGTACCTTAAAAGTAGTAGCAGTAGTAGTAAATGTTATGACTTTTTTTTTTCTTTCAAATCATACATTATTTGTTGCAATTTCCTTACACGAAACATTTGTCAGAAACAGTAAAATGAATCTGTTAAATTAACAATTTAAATGCATTTCTCAAGCAAGAGTTTCTCTGGTGACTTAGCATGGTGCTTTTAGGGAGATTTAGTCACATTAGATGCCTTTAAATAACAGGAAAATAGAAGTGCATTTAAGAGTGGCTTACTGTTATAGATGACTTCCCTGCTGTATTCCCATGTTTGAGAAGGGACTTGGAGAGTTTCCTCTGAGAAACAATCTGAAAAAAAAAAAATGAAAGGGAAAAAATTAGAATCTGTAGTAAACACATGGCTAATTATGATTTTAATTTTAAGTTGTTTTTCTGTTTGTTTCTATATCAAGGTAGTGCCTTAATCCACAGTCAGAGTCCTAGCACAGTAAGACTACTGCTGAGAAGAAAGTTTCTCCAGGAGTTTTGCAGACATGATGCAATGGAAGGACAAAGCACCCCGACAGGATCAAGCAGAATGGGAAGAACACAGTTAACTGAGTAATTGTGGAAAACTCAATGTCAGATTTTCCTCAACTGCTTTCAGGATGGAAGTAAAAGGACGTTAGCAAGTTTTAAATGAACTTAGGTGCCAATAAGGGGGCAGATGTATACAATAAATATATCAGACTTGCCAAAAACAAACAAACAAACAAAAAAAACACCCTACATTTATTTTTGCAGGAAATTGACAACCATTTCTAAGAGGACACTATTTTATTTCAAGACATCAAGCACTCCAAACTCAGGACAGCAGCAAGCATCCTGCCCCACAGTTTTTATTTCCAAAGTTGTCTCTTTTGCTGCCCAGGTACCAGACCTCCCTTGGAACTCAGCACTGTAAACGAACTTGTCCATTCACTGATTTACAAATATACTTCAAATAAATATTACTAAAGTGACACTGACAAAACATATTGTTTCCTGTTCCAATAACCATTACATTTTCATAACAATCTTGTAACATTTTAAAGTAGACCAGTAAAAATAATAGAAAAGGAAAAAAACTTAGAGTAATGCATAATTGGTAAGCTACAGTTGATCATCCAGTAATGTTAGGTTTCTCCTTTCTCCCTCTCTATAAAGTTAATGCTGTCTTAAAATGTTTCCCTTTTCTTTTTCTTTCTCTCTCTCTTTTTTTTTTTCTCCTCTCTTTCTCTCTCTCTTTCTTCCACTGGAAAACTTCAAAATGCAGCCAGAGATAGAGGTAATTCTATACACACCTTAGGACTCAATTAATATTATTTTTAATGTAACAAAATTGGGACAGGATGGCACTATGCCTGCCATGTGCTGTGCAGACACTGAGCAAAAGGTTGTTTCTGCCCTAGGAAGTTCTTTCAACCAGCCCTAGGAAGGTTGTTTCTTCACCTGGATGGCTAATCCATAACACTTCAAATAAAATGAATCACAAATAGAGATCTTTGGGAAAATATACAGAAATACTCATTGTAAGAAAGAGGCAGACATCAAGGGAAAAGAACAGCTCCAGGCACTTTGAGAGAGTCCTGGGCATTACACACATTTCAGCAATAAGCCAAATCAGTAAGGAGCAGCCAGAATCAAAACAGGGTGAGTAATGTGAAATCACAGCCAGCCAAAAAAGGTGCTGTGAGATAGAACCAAATAGGACGTAAATTTTGGCCTAACATCACCATGGGGATTCATCAATTTTCTGAATTGAACAGAAACATGGAAATAACACCTCTGATTCTACTCAGCTACTGTCATGATGGAGGCAGCCAGGCAGAAGCAAGCTTTAGAAGAGTTTTAAATGTGAGACATGGGTGTTACCACAGGCTGGACAGGACCTTCAGATTCCCTTCACCCAGCTCCCCAGTCCTAATGCAGGACCAGCTACCACTGGCTCACCTACACCTGACAGATGTGTCTCAGATACCCAGAGGCAGAGAAATGGTCTCCTCCAGTAATTTATTACACTACTTGTTATCCTCATCATAAATATATTTGCCTAAGAACTATCCTGATTCTTAGCCCATTATTTCTGTCTAATGGGCCATGAATAACTAAGAATTGTTTTCCCTTTCTCTTTCAGGCAATCTTTTATCTGAAGGCTAACATCATATCTCTACAGTCTTTCCAAGAACTGAAGTATGTCCTATTTTTCCTTTTTGACCAGATTTTGGAGAACATCAAACCATTATCAACACTCTCTGATGAGCCCTCACCGACTTGTCCATATCCTACTCTTAGAACAATGCTCAAAATTGGACATAATACTTCAGATCCTCCTTATGCAAGAGGAGCTTCTAATGTTCGCAAGCAACAAGTCTTGTACTCATATGCTCTCGAATTACATTTGACTTTTTTCTGATCACCATGACACTGATGCTATTTATATTTATGATCATTTCAGATTTTTCTTTGCCAGCTGTTTCTAACCCTGCAATTTTGCATCTGGTGATTACTTAAATGGATAATTTGCACTCCTTCTTTTTGGACTGCCTTCCGTAAGCCAACTGCCGCCATTACCTTATTCACATTTCCAAAATTAAGGATTTCACCAAAAATATTGGTCTGTAGCTGCACGCAATGCAGCTCAGAGAGCATGGAAGAAGACCAGGAATTTCAGAATTCAGATCTCCTTGTTTCGTAGGATCTTGTTCACTGCAACCCCTTAACTCACAGCTCTCTTTTCTTGCCAGCTAAAGAGGTTCAAATAAAAATCGTTGCATTCCTATGAACTGTGAGAAGCATGTTACACAATCTTGTTTGAGATTCTCAGATGAAAGGTGATACATAATTATGATAGGTTATTCTTAATACATTATTAAATTGTGGGTTCTGTATCTGACACTGAATTATGGCATCTGGGGAGCAGGACAGATACATCTCTATGACTTCTCTGCTTTTCCCCAAGACTTACAGACAACACTGTAAAATACATTAAGCTCTTCCACGGAAAGCTGTGGGTGTTGTGTACCAGAAACCTCTTCAGATATGTTAAATATATGTATCCCCAGTATCATATGCAGAACTTGGAAGGGAAACTGTCCTTCAGCTAGCCTCCTTTAAAGACAGCAGGACATTTCCTCATGAATGACTCAAATCCCTACAGCTCCTTTTGCTGCTTTGGAAAATTTTGTAGCTTTCAAGTGGCATTGGGCAGACAAAAACCTAAAGCTTGGGAGCTCCCATGCAGGTGACAGACAGCTCACAGCTCCAGAGAACGTAATTTATTCTGATGTTCCCATTACTGGATCACATTAATAAAACTAGATCTCTAAGCCATTAGCATTGTTATGACACAGTGAGGGCCCCACATATGTAAATATGTGCATTTGTGTGCAAACACTTACCAGTTGTTAATTATATGGCCAGCAAAATGAATCTTCCATCTGGCAATAATGTGCCAAGATCATTGCCTCAAACTGTCATTAGTGATTTAGGATCAGCAGACTATCATTGTGATAACTGATAAGAAATCAGTATTCTCTAGCAGGAAATTGCCCTTTTCATTCATGCAGCATACAAAAAGCATCTCACTGGTGAAAAGAGCCACTTCTCCAGATGCTGCCATCAATTATGTAACATATTTATTGTTTATGTATCAGTGTAAATCATCTCCTGAACATCATCATAACAAGTATCAGCTGATCTGATTGCCAGAAAATGAGTCCTAGACAGCAATAACTCATGGGCCTAGAAAATTTGCCTAAGTTTAGGGGTAAAGAGATGCCTGAACTTGCAAATTGGCTTATAATTAACCATCAGGAGTCTTGGTTTGACTTCTACTTCAAAAACTTCCAATTTTAAACTTCACTTTCAGAGACAAGCTTGTGCAACCTGATGTGAAGAAGTGCAGGATGTAAATGCCCCTGTTCTTTCAAAAATTCAGATATTAGAATCCACTTACGACCTAGTAGACCTCATTACATTTCCAGAACATGCTTTTTTCATGAACATTTTATTAGAAGCATGACCTATCGGTGAACAAATGGATGTAGAAACCTCAGAGATTTAAGAGGTGAAGCAAAGAGAGAATTAAGAGGTGAAGTTAAGGTTATTTGTGGTGACAGCCACATATAAATTACTACACAGTCCTGGTCTAAGACAGCCACATGTCTAATAATATGTATCATACTTAATACATTTGCAAGAGGCAGGAATAGGAACAGAATGTAAAAGCAGCTGCTCTGTTTTATAGAGGGGGGCACGCACATGAAGTGATTCCTATTTACCTCCTATGAACGTCATCTCAACTAGATTTCTGGTCTGTGCTGCCAAGGGATATCAGCTCTGGGTAAGACGGAGGCAAGAAATTCCCCTGAAGATGCTATAAATTTGCCTTACTACATCCAAATGCAAATAGGCTAGCGACAGATCTTAAGAGATTGCTCTGATTAAAACTGAATTCCCATGTTGCTCTTTGATCCTATCTCCAATTTCAAAATATGAAAGGTGCCTTGCTTTTTTTATTTAAGAAGTACAAACAGCTGCAACATTTTGGATAAAAGCACCAAGGCACTAACACCAGCTGTGTATAGCACATCTTATTCCCCAGCCACTTTTGAACCCACCAAATACTTTTTATGAATGGTGGCAAAGACACAGCAAATATACTACATTTTAACACGAAGAGAGACCAGACAGCAGGTAGGTGCCAGTGGCCTTAACTCTGCTCTCATGAAGAAAAGGTTTTGGGAATGAGTTCACAGATACCAAGAAAACCCTGCAAGAGAAGAAGTTCAGACGTGTGTCCATAATGAAGAAGATTTCATTCTCTATAACTGCTAACACTTTTCTTTCTTTTTTCCAGGTAGAGCCAATTTTATTGCTGTAATCATCCCTTCTGTACATATGATACTTGCTGTACCATACTCATCTCTCTTCAAGATTTGCTTTGTTCCCTGTAGTACTGATCAGCTCACAGCTTTTTTACATGTGAATTACACCTCTCCCTGGTCCTGTTAAAGATCTGTGCCTGAAAATAGTCAATCAAAACATGCAGAAAAAAGATATCCATATCACAAGAGACAATAATGCTATCACAGGAAATAGCTTATCAATAGCACAAAACGTCTTTGAATTTAATTAGTATGTAGTGTATGCAACCCATTTATGATTAGTTATTATTATAACTCATAATAATAGCAAACTAAATTTTAAATTAGTTTTCTAAAGACTGCTACAGTAATTCATACAAAAAGATAAAGTATGTAAAAACAAAGCAGTACAAACTGTACATGTAATTCCATTAACTTTGACTGGCAAGATTAATGTAGAAC